CTGAAAGAGCATGGCAGGGGGGGACTGAGGGCTTGGAGGAAAGGTGAGAAAAATAGGTAAAAGCATAAAAAAAGGACAAAAGAACAGAGCCAAGGGGGTACCACTTAGCAGTAAAGCTAAGGCTGGGTCCAAGTGGTAGTGCTGGGGTGGAAGGAGTTGCTAACGGTAGAAGGCAGATAAAAAGCCGGGCTGCCAAGACTCAAGTAAAAGGAGCTGGGGTCAGGGTGCACCCAGATGGGAAGGCATGCAAATCCCAGCAAGACAGATAGCCCCCTGGCTTAAGTGCAGTATGACTAGACAGGAAGAGAGCTCCAAAGTCGGGGGTCACTAACCAAGGCCCCCGCTGCAGAGACAGGCATGGGTTCGTGGTGCAGGCTTGGTCGGGTGGGTGTCCAGGATCTGCTGCACCAGCTGCTCTACAGAGAACTCCTCTGTCCCGTTCCCACAGCTCCACTTGATGCCATGAACTAGAGGAGAGTTGGGGGGAAGTGCTATGGGACCCCCACAAAAGTCCCCAGAGCACCTTGACAGCTCGGCTCCTTCAAGCACCTGAGATGCTCCAAGACTTCTGGCCAGGTGCAAGGAGGCCAGCAGCCTCAAGACTGCTTGCATTTGTAGTTCACAGCTGTCCCTTCTCCATTGTAGAACTCACCAGGAGGCCTAGCACCCCCGCAGGAAAGCACCCTCTGGCTTAGAGGGACACGGTCACCCCACAGGCTCCTGGTGCCTCTGGGAGGCCCCTGTTTCCACTCTCCCCTTGGAGCACTGTCCTAGCCCTGCTGCCTTACACATGGGCTTCAGCTGTCCCAACAGCTCCTCCCGGGACCACTTGAGCCACTCTCGACGGTCACTGCTGATGGAACAAAAGATGGGGCTGCAGCCCTTTCCACAATCCTCCAGGGCTGGGACGTTCAGGTAGTGCACAAGGACGATGTCAGGGTTCTGCGGGCACAAGGGTACACACAGAGCACGATGGGGTCCTGAGATCCAAGGGTTCAGCTTCCTAGTCTTCACTTTTCCCCAGGCATCCCCCAGCTCCATTCCCAAGTATAATTCTCTCCATCCCAAACTCCCTCTCCCCCAGGCTCCTGTACCCACTCGGAACTAGTCGTCCTTCACTGCACCCTTCCAGACCCCATCTCCCCCAAAGAGCCAGGAAGAGTGTGTCTCCCTGAGCGCTTCCATCCTTACCTGGAGCAGCCAGTAGCAGCGCCGATGGAATGTGGGGACGATGGAAGAGTGAACGTAGCAGCCATAGAGACACTGCCAGGAGACAGGCTGGGGTGGGGGGAGGGCTAGTCTGCTCCCCAACTCTTCCTCTGTTCAGTCCCTTTGCAGGAATCCCAATCTTTCCACCAGTTCCTCTTCAACCCTTACCCACCCCCACCTCTTCCCCACACCTTTAAAATCCCAGCACCCCAAATCATGGATGAGAGGCAGGAGAAGGGAACAGGGGGACTAGGGCTTTACAATGAGGATCACATTTGAGATCTAGGACTATCTAGAAATCGGAGGGCAGGGCAAGAACACAACTGAGATGAGGAGCAATGATTTGGGGAAGATAAACCTGTGCTTAGAGGTTCAATACTTGGACCCCTGAGGGAAATGCAAGTGAGGTGAGGGGACTGGGCATTGGTGTCCTCCAGGGGAGGCATAACCTAAGGCCTGCAGAGCTGGGACATGGAAGGAAATGGGGTGTGGAGGGTGGGCTAAGCTAACAGCCAGCTGATGCAAAGCGAGTGAGAAGGGAGGGTGGTGAGGCAAAGGTACCAAGTCCTGACAGGGCTGGAACCCAGCTAAGGGTGGAGAAGGCTGGGCCAAGGCAGATGAGCTGGATGCCTTGCTTACCTCCATGCCCTGGACCTTCAGCTTCATGTGGTCCTCTCGGGTGGTCTTCCCATCCTTCCGCTTCTTCCAGAGGTAACCATCCTTCCGGTATTTCACCTTCTTGCGGTTGTAGAGGATGATGGAGCCATTCTGAGGCCTGAAGAGGATAGGGTTGGCCTTGAGCTCTGTGAACAGATCCCAGGACCCCTGCTACTCGCCACCTTCACAAACTTTCTCACCTTGTCTTTGGAGCACAGGATAGCCACTCCTCATGCTTCTCAAAGGTGATCAAGTAGGATGCAATCTCCTGTAGAAGAGGAGGTACCCAGGTGGGTGTCCCCTGCATACAATCTCAGACTGGCCTCCTGGCCACCCCCTCAGGGTCCCTCTCCACTGAGTTCTGGCAGCCAGTGGAGGATGCTGCCAGCTCTCTGACCCAGCAGGGCTCACTGCCCTTCTAAGCATCTCAGGTTCCATCGCAAACAAAAGTCTAACCTCTGGAATTCCATCAGCCTGACTCCTTCCCTCCCTGCCAACTGGGGCTTTTATCTTGGGGCCAGACCCAAGCTCTTCATCATTCTTTGTTCATCATTATCTTCCTCTCCAAATTCCACGTGTGTGCCACTTCCTGACTCAGAAAACTTCAATAGTTTGACATCACCAGGAATTCCAGATTCTTCAGCCTGACTCCAAGGCTCTCCCTGACCAGGGATCAAACCATCGCTCCTACGCTCACACTGTTTACCCATTTGCACCTACATTCCTGCCAGAACGAACCATTGGTTCTTCCCTGAACTTGAGCTGAGCAGCAGTATCCTCAGTGTTAGCGCTGTACAACCTCATGGCACCCTGAAGTGCCATGTACACATCTCTTTGAGTCTGGAACTCCTAGCCATCCTATAGACAAATCCCTTCCCAGATCTCCATGAAGCGCTGCTGACCTCTCTAGCGCTAACAATAACACACACACACACCCACACACACCCCTTTTGACTGACAGTCCTCTTCTAGTCAAATAATCAAATCAATAATGATCAACCACCAAGTACATAGAAAGCACTGGGTGTAGGGAGAACAGAAGGTGTGTAACACGGGACATGCCCTCCAGAAGGAGCAAGCATAAGTGGTGGTTAAAAGCAGGCGCTCTGGAGCGAGTTAGATAAGTCATTTCCTCATCTATACCAGGGGCATAACAGTGCTTGCTCTATAGATAGCATCATCAGAGCTGCAGAAGGAGATAATGGAGGTCAAGTGCTTAACACAGTGCCCGGTTTGTAAGAAATACTGTAAAGGTGGTAGCTATTATTTTTACTCAGGTGGATATGCCAAGAAGTGAGTTCCTACAAGATGCAGGTCTTTATACCTCCCCGGTGATCCCCAGAGAGCCCCACACTCTGCACGTGGGAGTGTGGACAGACACAGGGCGACCCTCATCCACTCTCCCCAGACCTTCTACGCCCTGAGCCCCCACGCTCCCTAGGAAACCTCATTTGTATTCCACCGCAGCCGCTCTGGAGGCAGCAGTGGACATCGAGGAAGACATTCCAACAGCTTCTTGGGGAGAAAGATCTTCAGGTGGTGGCTGTTCTCTAGAGGGAACGAGAAAGGAGGGCTTAGGGTGCTGGCCGAGGGCAAAGGGCTGAATCCAGGGCACTGGGGGGGACTGAAACAAGGAGAGCAGGGAATCCAGGAACTACACGCACCACCGGGCAGGGAGAGAGGAAGGTTGTGTTCAAAGTGGGAACCTGGATTGTGGACTCACCAGCAACCTCGGTGGTGTCCTTGGTACTCATGGTGAGGGCTCCAGGGGCAAGGTCACCCCTGGCCGGAGGGGCCGGGGGGAGGGGGAGTCTGTGCTGGGAAAAGAGAGAACAGGTCATGGCAGGAGCCCTCACCCTTCCCCAGGATGAGGCGGGAGAGGCAGTACAGACTGGGCCATGGGAAAGAAGAGGAAGAGAGGAAGGAAGGGGATAGGCCAGGGCATGGGGGAGGGCGAGAACCCGGACCTGGTGCCAGGAACCAACGTGAGTGGGGAGCCACGACAGAGGAGTAATCAGGAAGAGTCGGGTGGGTGGGGGAGGGGAGGCGCTGGCGGGGCGGGCGTCCTGCAGGGTAGGCTCGGTCGGG